TGACTGGGCCTGATCACCCGGTTAACCTGTATGTGCTCATTAATAGCACTCAAGAAAACCTGTTCCATGACTTTGCCCGTCACCGAGGTCAGACTGACAGACCTGTAGTTCCCCAGATCCTCCTTCCGCCCTTTTTTGTAAATGGGGGTAACATCTGCCAGCCTCCAGTCCAGCAGAACTTCCCCAGTGAGCCAAGACTGCCCAAAGATAATGGACAGTGGTTTGGCAATGACATCCACCAGCTCTCTCAGGACTCTCGGGTGGATACCATCAGGCCCCATAGACTTGTGGGCATCCAGCCGATGAAGCAGATCCTTGACCCGTTCCTCTTGGATCACAGGAGCTTCGATCTGCTCTCCCTCCCTGCTCTCAGACACCGAAGGCCAGCTCACCTGGGAACTGCTAACCTGGTTATTAAAGACTGAGGCAAAGAAGGCATTAAGGACCTCAGCCTTGTCCTCATCCCTAGTGACTAACGTACCCCCCGTGTCCAGTAGGGGCTGGAGGTAATCTTTAGCCCTCCTTTCTTCTCCTCCTGATCAGACTCATGTTACTGCTGTGTCTGCACCAGGAAATACATCTGTATTTACCTTTGGAACCAAGCGGGCTGCACAATGATTCACACACACACACTCCCCCAGCTCACGGCAGCTCACTTCACTCCAACGCAGCGCAGCAGCGTTACCTTGATGTGGCCGGCCAAGTTAGCGTGCAGCGAGTGCCTGTCATAGTCTTGCACGGTCCAGGAAGGGGCCTTTTTCTTCTCCTCCCAGTCATCGTCCACCTGAATGTCACTATACAAGGGGTTGCTTTTGATTGTGGATTTCAGGGTGATGGGTGTAATGTGTTTCCCGAGGGCTTTGTCTATAATTTCTTGACTGACCTGGTTCGAGTCTAAGCCTGGCAGCTCAGTGACATTTCTCTTTTCTCTCTGTAAGGCACAAGTTAGATTAGAAGTTGGCTTTCATCCTCATTTATCTATGACACATGTCCCCTTCCAGATTTATCATTTGCAATACCATAGAATTGTTTTGAAAATTACACATGCAATGATTTTTCTCATCCTGGCAAACATCTACAGCACAGCAAGGGAGCCTGGCTGTTCACTCTGGGCAGATGCCTTCCTTCTGGGGGAAGGACGTGGATGCAATTCAAGCACTAAACTCTTCTGCAAATGTGAACTGGCATCATGATGCCTGCTGAAAGAAAGCCTCTGCTTTAGCAAAGCAGTGCTACGGAGCACTGCAGTAGGAGATGCAGTTCTGGTGAAAGTCACGGCCCTATGATGCAGAAGCAGAGCTATAAAGATGAAGCAGGAGGAAGCACAGGGGCACTGGTGTGTAAGGGACTGCCTTGAGGGAAGCTGCACCTCTGGCAGGAGGAGCGTGAGTTGCAGCTCTGCTCATGTTGTTGGATGTGTCAGGGCATCAGAGGCCCTTCACTCCACTGAGAGAGAGCCCTTAATTTGGACACTGTCAGACCTCAAAGGTAATTAAATATCTGAGCAGCCTCCCAGCAACAAAAAATCTTTAAATCAGACCTTTTAGAACTGGGGGGACAAGGGAGGAGGAGGAACAGCCCTGGTGAGATCATATTTTTGGAGAGCTCACAAGCTGAAACTTAACATAGCCCTAAGAGCCTCTTCAGCAGCCGATAAGATGGTAGTGAATACATTTTTCGATCTGTAATTGGATGGAGGAATTCAATCAGACTCTCCAGTTCAAGTTTTTCAACATTTATCTTCACCACAACCTCTGTCCCTGAGACTTTGAATTATTCAGCCACTGATCTGCGGTTCCAGTGTGATGTCAGCTTCCCAAGAGATCTGCTACTGGCACAGCCCTTGCTTCACACTGACAACTGTCCCGGGTCTCAGGACTACTTCTGCAGAGCCACCACAGTCCAAATTAAGAAATTTCCTTCCACGAAAGGATGTCTTTCCCTGGATACTTCACTTATATTGAGATCTTCAGCCGTTAAGGTGCCATGGGCTGAATGGGCTTCAGCAGCATGTCCTGCTTCTCCCTCCACCTTTCTAGTGGGACCCCAGGGGATTACACCTCCTCCCACACACTGGCTCTGAAGCTGCTCAGATCTCAGATCTCACATCAGCCAGTGCGCGTCCCTAAGCCGATACCAAACTGTTGGCCTCTTCTGCTTGAGTCATTTTCTGCCACTTTTGTGGGCTGGTAAATCCACTTTCAGTGGAAGCCAGATGCTATGTGTCATCACCCACTTTATGCCTCAGTGCCTGTGCAGACCCGTAGACATGAGTGAGCTCTTCTGGGGCCAGGCAGGTGTAGAAGGGAGTGGGAGGACTGCTTTGCTTCTGACAGGAAAGAGGGAGAAGCAAAACCAACAGCCTTTGTTTAAGAAACCCCAGGAGGAAGCATCATGCTGGCATTCTTATCACTAAATTGTGCACAAGTGACTTAGTGTGTTTCCCATCAAAAATTACCATTAGTAGGTGGGTGGATCCTCAGTGCCCTCCCAGTCTCTCTATTAGTTCATAATTTCCATATGTCATTCCTCAGCCTTGACATATCCCCTGATAATATTACTCTTTGCATTGCAGTTGCAGCTGGCACTGAAGCCCTCTGGATTGTACTGGCCAGATTTCAGCTGAGCTGATGTGTCCAACTGTCATTTCTTTCTGACTGCATTTTATTTCATTTATTTTATTTCTTATTTAAAGTTTGTCAATGGCCTTAATGATGCTTCCCTTGGGCTTGCTAGATAGTTGAACTTGGAGTACATTTTGTTGAGGAACGTGAACTGTCTCACCAGGGGATGCTCGGTCTCCCTAGGCTAAAATGTTGTGAAAAGAATGTGACTTGACAGTAATTTTAAAAGCTGTTTTAAATAAAATGCTCCAAAACTTGGAAGAGATGGCATGATTCAAAATTTGTTCATAAAGAGAGTGCCTTGTGGCAAAGCTTTTTGCCCCTTCCATCTGGAGTACCTTCCTTTCACAGGCATGAGAACAGGAGACTGTGGTAGTCTGGAGCAGTGGTAGAGAGGGAATAGGATGGGAGGGGCAACAGGGTTTTACCGTGAGAACTGATGGGAATTTGGGGTAGGAGATGGTTTGCAGAAGTTTTGGAGAGCAGACATTAAAGTGCCAAGTTAATTGAGAGAATACACTTGAGTGCAGGCAAAGGCTTGGCTGTAAAACTTCTGAAGTAGCTAAGTCCCAGAGACTAGTTAGAGAAAATGAAGGACAGAATCCTGATGTTTATAAACAAAAACAAAGGTTTAAGTCAAAGAAACGATCCAGAGAAATATGAAGAAGTTTACATGGGTACATAAGCATTTACAGAAGCAGAGAAACAGAAGGAGGTTAGATGATAAAAATAAGCCTGCTGGTAATAATTCTAGCAAAAACTACATATTTTTTCTTTTAAAATTCAAAACATTTCCCAACAGTTTTCACAGACTTCTATGTTTTCGTTCTGCTTCATTAAACAAATGTTCAAAGAAAGATGAGAATATTGTAAACTTAGGTATCCATATGTGTTACAGAACTTACATAATAGACACTGTGTCTGAAAAGCCAGCATGAATGAGGGTGGAATAGATCAAATCCGAGCTAGTAGGAGGCAATTTATATTACTATTCACCAAATGGAAGGAGGGAACAGCAACTGCTCAACGCAGTAATAGCTATGAAGAACTCTGAGAAACTGTAGTTGAAACGTGCTGATGAAATACTCATTTAACAAGATGAAAAATGCTCAACTCTGCAAACACATAATTGTGTTTGATCTACATATAGCTCATGAGCAAGAAAGCTGTTATGGTTTGTAACTCATTTTTCACCAAGAACAGTTTATCCCGCCTTGACAGACTCAGAGAGCTGGCGTGTACAAAAAGAGGACCTGCAAAAACCCTGAAGATCTGTAGAGAGTCAATTTTAGTTCCATCTGTGTGTCAAAATATGCGTTCTCCACAGATTTTTCTCACTGATTATTTCATAGTGAAAATTATGCATATAGACACATTACAATATATAATTTAAAATTATAAATTATTCTATATAGCTAGGAAACATTTTTATCTCTGTTTTATCTTTACTTCATCCTTTCATTCCCACTGTTGTCATTGTTGTGAGCACTGAAACAACGTGAGAGTCTACCTGCTCTCTCTTATGTCTATGATATGAGACATCAAGCTAATCAACCGCCAAAAGCAGGACATCAACAGTTAAAGCTAGGCCTTGGTCTCAGATCATCTACCTGCAAGAAGAGATCAAAGATATGCCTAAAAAATTGAGGAAATTTACTTTCTGCAAGTCAAATTTTTCTTTACTTGCCCCAAAGACAGACAATTTCTCTTGTCCCACGGCTGGCCACTGTCTCCAGCTGTGGCCCAGGGAGATACTCAATGAAAGTGACAATGAAAGTGAAAATGCAGCTACAACTACATGTTTTAACCAAGGGAGTCTTTAAGAAACGTAGGGCCACCAGATACTGTAGGATTTGTTTTGTAATGACCTCCTCAATCCTAATGAAAGTGTGTAGCAGGGTGATTATTGTAGTTGTACTTAATTTGTTTAAAGCTATAGCCCTCCGTTGTGCAAAAGCCTTGTAGCACATCCTGGAAGACTCTCTCTTCACTTGGAAGGGCATTTTTCTGATGTAGAGACCTGTTTCTAAGGCAAACAAAGGATCTAACAGACAAAAGCTTCTAGGTAGTAACACAAGAATCCCTGTGATAGTTGTGATAACTGTATAGGTATTGCTAGGCAATTGGTCAGTTTAAAAAAAGCTTGTTCATCAGGATAAATAATTATTAGCTCTTTAGAATTTCCCGGAGAACTCTGACCTCAGAGGGGATGCTGTGGAAAAGCAATCAGGAAGGCAAGGAGTAACCAAGGGTAGGTAAGCAGACATGAAAGACATCAGGGCAGACGGCTCCCATCAAGGATTCCTGAGGATTCAAGTTGTCTTATGCGAGGAACTGAAGTGGATCAGAATTGCTCGTCAGAGACACAAGGCAGCATCACGTACTACAAAGCAACCTGGCCACCCGACACTGGTGGGAAGGAGATTTGTAGATGGTTAGAAACACTTGAGCCAAAATGACAGAAATATTTAGAGAAAAGTAGGCATTTGTATGGACTATTTTAATTGTGCATCATTGAGAGTACTTCTGTCCTCATAATGAATTGTTTACTTAAAGAAAGCTGTTTTATCTGTCATTGGTAATGGAGTTCTGCAGGACTGTGAGTGCACTGCATAAAAGCTTCTGTACAGTGTCAGACCAAAGCTCCTGCCAACCTTGCAGCTGGCTCCGGTTGTGGCCAGTTGCAGATGTCTAGGGAAGAATAAGGGTAAGATTGGAAGTATGTAACGCATGTCTGAGCCAGGGGACAAACAAGTGACTGTAACCCAGCACCTAACTTGTGGATAAAAAAACCCTCTTGTCCCAGAACACTGAGAAACAAGCAAAGGCAGGACGCAGGTGTTAGCTCAGATGCGAGACCAGGAGGGGTTAGGAGTGAAGTTAACATGATAAACAGAACTATAATCCGCAGGACAAAATTTGTTCGGAGTTGTGAATTCCTAAGCAAGAGCAGCACGCCAAGAAGTAGCACTGTGTTCAAAGATCAAACGATCTCTGCTGTCTTCCAAAAATATGGAGAAAGGGAAATAGAAGCAGGAAAGAAAAGTCCGAGAATTAAAGAAAATGACCAGGTGGACTACAGGGAAGACTCGCACCTCAGCTATGAGAAGCAGCTATAGGGGATTAATCATTTGGTGTATGCTGAGCACTAAAACATACAGTGGGGCAGAAAGTCCAGTGGGACCAGACATTTTCAGGACAAGCAGAAATCGGTCAGTAGCTAGCCATTTGCAGGAGAAACAGTCTGTGCTTTTTATGCTGCTTTTCACAAGGAAGGGCCAAGATTCCTGGACTACTTTATTGTTTG